TTATGGAAATGATGAGAGTTCATTTATTATGATTTAAATATTTATGTAATATGAATACGGTTCATTAATTATGATTAATATTTTATTGTTTCATTTGATTTGATTAATATGTGATTTCATAGAAGTTTTTTTTAATATAAAGTATTGATCATAATTAATGAACCGTATTCATCTTTCATAAATATTCAAATCATAATAAATGAACTCTTATCATTTTCATAAATATATCAATTTATTGGCTTGCATTGCTTGCATTGGTAAACACTTACTCGGGTAAGCGTTTGGTAAACGACACCTAAATTTGCGTTTATATTATCATAAATAAATCTATACTATATTATAAAGCATTTGACAAAAACTCTTAAAACCACTTTTTATGCGTAAAGTTCTGTTTAATAATGCATATTACTTAAAACTCAAGATTGCAAGTAGATTGTGCGTAAGTACAACTTATTAAAGCTCCATATCTGAATTCGTGTAACTAAATGCAGATAAACATAATAAAATACAAGATAAACATTTTATTTTAAATATAAAAAATCTAAAATATAATTATGATAATCATTGAGTTCTAATAGAATACTTAATTATTATCTTTATAAAATGTTATATTATTAAACCAAAAATAAATTATTTTATTATCAAACTTAAATTAAATTATATTAAAAATGATAAATTAAAGAAATTACATAAAAATGAAAAATTTTAAATAGTTGATTTGATATTAACATTGACATATTCTTTTTCAAATTTATATTTTACTGAAAAATAAAATCATTATTGCTTTCATAAAAACACATAAAATCATATTATAACATCGATAGAGACAAGTAATAAAATTGAACATTAAAATCATGATGTATTTCGCTGTATTGTACAAATGCTCTTTTGGTATTAAAAAATATATTTAAAAATGTTTGAGTGAGTTAATGGGTCGGGGTTTTCCAAAGACGTTCCGGTCAAGTTGATGGGCGGTTGGATGTCAGACACGGAATCCCCATTCCGACTATGTCACTTGTGCGTTCATTACCCTCAATTTTTGTGCTCTTTCAACTTCCACCATTTTTCTTTTACTTTTTTTTTTAATATATTTTAAAAATAAAAAATTAACTATTTTTTATACTATAATTTATATCATTTGGTTTATTTAGTTTTCAATCATGGTTATAAATTTTAAAAAAAGTCATCCAAAGAAAAACAATCCTATGAAACAAACCTCATTATTTGACACAAATGCATCCAATTCATCTTTCATATACACTTCATTTTGTTCAAATCTTTTAACTATTCACCAATGTGAAATATCTCAAACTCAACCACAATTCACCAACACCTCAATACTCGATTCTCATGATGCCACCTCAAACACTTATGGTTCTTCTTTTAATACTAGACTATAAGGGTATTCGCGCAATGCAGCGAGATACATCTTGATTTTAATATTTCATTTTTTTTTTATCTAAGTCGATGTTATAATATGATCTTATGTGATTTTGAAAAAACGATGATGTTTTTATTTTTGAATAAAATATAAATTTAAAAATATATCGATATTAGTATCAAATTAACTATTTAAATTCCTATTTTTTGTGTAAATTTCAGTTCCATTTTTTTTATTATAATTTAATTTAGGTTCAGTAATGAATTAATTTATATTTGGTTTAATAACATAATTTTCTTATAAAAATAATAATTAATTATTTTATTAAAACTCGATAATTATCTTAATTATATTTTAAAATGAGATGGTTATCCTCTGTGTGATTATGTTTATCCGTAGTTAGTTACACGAATTCAAACATGGAATTTTAATAGTTGTACTTATGCATAATTTACTTGTAATCTTAAATTTTAAGTAATATGCATCAATATACAGTACTTTATGCATAAAAATGGTTTTTAAGAGTTTTTGTCAAATGCTTTATAATATAGTATAGATATATATATAGATTTTTCTTTTTCTTTTCGCACCTTTACCTCGAAATGAGAAAGAAGATGGTACATAATATATTAGGTCGTGTAATTCGTCTGTACTTTTATAAATAATTATACAGTATAATTATTGTTGTCTTTTTAGAGGTACTGAAGTTATAAATCTTATTTTTTACTTCCTATCAATAAGAGGTGGTGCTGAAGTCTGAAAGCATAATCAATAAAGTTGTTTGTTTTTGTAAAACTGATAAATGTTTGAATATGTATACTTGTCTATTTTATCTTCGAGAATGCTATATAGTTCATCTAGAAAATTTACATGTAAAATATAAAGGGTAACTTGATTTCTATTTTGGATAACGTACTTTTTTAAGTATCTAATATGTAAAGTTTTAAACATTTAAGTATCCGGGTAACCGGATGAAGTATTAACTAATTCTTCTAATAAACCACAATACATAAAAACTAATTTTAGATTAAGATATCTATGTCAACAAATAATATTGAGTTGGATATTGCATCAATCACCACATCAGCATGATAACCGGTTACCCGAATACTAAAATATTTACTTTACATCTTAGGTACCAAAATAAAAGTTCTGAAAGTACGTTACCCAAAAAATGAATCAAGTTAAAGTACGTTAACTTTTTATGTAATTTGCCCAATTATAAACTAGCAATTCCTTTTAACAATATACATCATCATGAATTTCAAATACATTAAAATCCTATCAAAGTACATTGTTTGATCCAAACAGAAACTCTGAACGAAATTTCATAACAAATAAAATGAACTGTTATGACTTTTACTGGTTAGCACAACAACCCTGATAAAACATCTTTCTAGATTTGAGTCACTGAAGGGTTCATGAATGACATTTAGGATCTGTTTGGCTCAGGCTGGGGAATGAAAATGACAGAGAATAAAAACGAGAATGGATTTTCATTCCCTTAACCATGAATGAAATTTTGGGATTCTGGAGGAACGGACCCGTTTTATTATAGAAAACCAAACAACTTCTTTTATCTTCATTCTCATTGGTTACTGCTTAATAACACAGATCATGTTTGCTTTCGTGATGAACACAATTAAAGTGAACACTGAACATAATGTAAACAACCTTAAGAAAATTTCTTACCACGGTGTTTACAAAATAATAGGTTTAGATTTAGTTTTTGCTGCTTTAACTGATATCGACAATATGTTCACAAACTTTACTAGATACCGTAGATTTAGAGTATGTTCATAACCTGTAATAATTTTCTAAATAAAAATGTCCACGATGCGTTTACCTTTTGCGTATATTAGTTTTGCAATTTTTTTTATCATCACGAAAGCAATCACATTTGAGACGGGTATATTCAGAAAATATAATAGTACTTAACTGTCTAATATTTAGTATCTACTGTTATCAGTAGGGAAGACGTACCAAGAAAGGTTCTGGGTGCATCTATGCTTTTATCATCTGAGTGTAATGTATTTTTAGGGTTTTAAAGGTATACCAGTTTTAAATTGATGCGTGCATTCCTAAGATGACAAAAATTAACTGCAGTTTGCTGGTTCACAGCTGCAATTATCTGTTTCAAGTTCAAACCCATTTGTCTATTTTTCTTCTTCTTCTGGTAATAACAATAAAAATTATAAAATAAAAAATATGCAGAGGTGTCGTGCGATTCGTTATTTTTAATGAAACCGTATTTTTTATAACCAATATTTGTTTTTATTTTATATAATATTAAAGTTTTTAGGAAAAAAAATCTAAAAAAGTGCAATGGACTTTAGTGTCGGGAATGATTAAATTATTGGACAATTTTGAAACTAAAAAGTTCTTGGACGTTCCAAAACTTGTTAAATAAGTTATTGGACATTCCAAAACCTGTTAAATAACTTTTTGGACTTTCTAAAACCTGTTGGAGACATTCTTACGACATATATAAGTGGTTAATATAGTAAAATAATGGAAGAAATCTGAAACAAAATAAATGGACTTTATATTTTGAACAATTAAGTGTCTAAAAATTTTTTGAACAAAAACAAAAACACTTACATCTATAAAATGAAACAAATATACAAAAAAAAATATTCAATTTAAAAAAGATTAATGATGAAATTTATATATTAATTAAGGGGAAATCATGAAAATAACCAAAATATGTCTAATTAAAATTCGTCGCTTAATCATGCTTCTTGTCAGTGATATCATATTTCACTGACGGATAAACGATGAATTTTAATTAATTATGTATCTAGTTAAATTTTATCATTAATCCTTCAGTAATTTAATCAAATTATTTTTTATTTTTTTATTTACAAAACCACGAACGAAATATATTTTATTTTTAATTAAAATAAATTTTATCAGTAATCTTTTTTGAATCCTTTTTTATTTTTTTAATTTAAAAAATCATTGACATAATATATTTTTATTTTTAATTATAATCAATAATATTTTCTAAATGTAAGTAATTTTTTGATATATTTGTTTTATTTTATAAATATAAGTATTTTTTCATTCAAAAAATATTTAAAAACTTAATCGTTCTAAATATAAAAGTCAATTGATTTTTTTAGACCTTTTCCATTATTTCACTACATTAACCAGTTTTACAGGTCATAAGGATGCCTCTAACAGATTTTAGTAAATCCAAGAAGTTATTTAACATGTTTTGAAATGTCAAAAAACTTACTTGTTTCAAAAAATTGTCAAAAAACTTAATCATTTTAAACACTAAAGTTCATTAATTTTTTACACAACCAACAAATTTCAGAAATAAACCAAATTATTTAAACATATTTAAAAAGAAAACATATAGTTTAATTTAAACATGTCTCAACTAATTAAGCAAGCGTTCCTTAAAGCTTCTAAAACTATAATTAGAATCAAAATGATTAATTAATTAATTAATTATAATTAAACAACAATTTAAGCGGTTTCTTTATTCGATAATTTTAACCGTCAAACAGAGATTAGACACAAGTGGAAACCCTAAAATACCCCTTGACAATGACTATTATTACCATCAGTTGTTGTTTAATATCGCAAAGCAGCTCCAACAAATAGGCAAAGCAGTTGCAGAGAGAGTACTTTCGACCGCCGCCCTCTCGCCGGCGATTATTTTTTTCCGATTACATCGTCGGAAATTACAGGTCGGTGCTCTCATCTCCGTACACATAATTTAGGCACATCTTATTTCTCCTTGAATATATTTACTGTTCCTTGTGTGCGTTGAAGGTTTTCTGTTCTTAGTTGCTCTTGTCGATCTGTACAAATTGTATACGTTTCTCAAAGTTGTTCTTCGTCGATGCTACAATTATATTATGTGGTTTATACAGATCCAATATATTCTCGTGGTAGGCAGTCTCAGTAAATTTGTGGTTTGTTGAGCTATTTGGTGGAAAATTTTAAAAACTTTGTTTGTTTGTTTGTGATAATAATTTACAATGTCTATTCAGTCCAAAAATAAGCAGATGCTCTTTGAAGTTCTATTTCAAATGAGTTGTGTCTTCAACTCCAAAATTGACATTGTTTTCAAAGTATTTGAGGAAAAATTGCGCAGTGTATTAAATTTATGACAAATACTCCATGTGAATTGAACAATGTTCATGTGAATCTGCAGCTATGTCAAATTTGCAATTAAATGTACATGTGTGACTTGGGGGAAAGGATGGGATAGTTTACCAGATGCTGGTAAAATCAACATATTAGTAGTACTAAATGTCTTGTGCATTATACTTCAGGTTAAATTTGTCGAAATCACAAAGTCTACGTTCAGCAAAGAGTTGTTATTTGTGAATAAGCCATATTGGGAAACAACAAGATTTCCTTGGGAAGATGTCTTTAAGTACCATTTAACTGAGATGAAGAACAATCAGGTGATGATCTTTTCCATTTTAAACTTTGAAGCTCCTTTTATACTATTTGGTTTTATATAGTATAATAATAATTTGTTCTTTCCACCACAAGCCCAAATTTTCATTCTAGGTTAAACCGGAGGAATCCGTCATTTTCATTTTCATTCGATATTGAAAATAAAGGAAACTGTTTGATTTTATTTTTATATAAATATAATGGGCCCATTCCCCGTGAGCCTAAATTTTCATCTATCTGGTTTCCTATACCATTTAAGAAGAAACATTGGTATAAATGTAGTGCCTGAAATTAAGAAGCTATGCAGGAGTCTTTGGATACACCAGAAACACAACCTTTAGCCCAAGCTTCACACGAGTCTCAAAGTGATCAACATAATAATGCAGCAGAGGTGCCCGTTCCTGACTCTGGTTCTGTCTCCATTTCGAGCAATGACAACAGAAAAGTTTCCCGGGAGGATATTGAACTTGTATGCAAATTTAATGTTCTGTTTTGCATATTATTCTTTCTTGCAGAATTACGGAAAAGTCAAGGTTTGTCTACATTTGATATAATTCTTGAATGTTGTAGGTCCAAAACTTGATAGAACGCTGTTTGCAGTTGTATATGAATAGGGATGAAGTGGTGAAAACTTTATTAAATCGTGCAAGGATAGATCCTGGTTTTACAACCCTAGGTAACCACTGCAAAATATTCCAGTTCCTGTGATGTATTTGTTTTGACCTTTTCACCATCTTTCCGCATTCAATCTTGAGATTTCGTGCTGTTCAAAGCAGTTTAGATAGAAACAATCCACACATGTTGAGGTTGTATGTCTTTTCATTATATTGATGATTCGTATCGCACTAAGAGTGTTGACAGTTTTGTTTATTCCGACGGGATGTTATCCATCTAACGTGCATTGGATCTGTTATACTTACAAAGCAATTTATATTCAACCATAGCATCATCGTTACCATTTCACATTTTGTTTTTGGTGGATAGTTTGGCAGAAATTGGAAGAAGAGAATGCGGACTTTTTCAGAGCCTACTACATTAGGTTAAAACTGAAGAAGCAAATCATCCTTTTCAATCATTTACTTGAGCATCAATATCACCTTATGAAGTATCCCGTGCCTCCAAAGCTACCTGTGGCTTCCATACACAATGGGATCCATCCCATGCCAGGTAACCTTTTACTATTTGTTCTGGCCATCGGGAAGAATATGAATATTCTCCCTGCTCAAAAACCATAAAAAAGTTATATTTACAAAATGTATAAATTCTCGAACTTATGCTTGCTTAATTGCATTCAATTTGATTAGTGTTGGAAGGCTTATCATTTATAGCTCAATAGTCTTCCTTTGCTCTTCTTAGGAGCTTGCAAGGCTCCTCTAGTTATATGATCTGTGGCTTGCTTCTTAGAAGCGACGCATGTGCCTGCCGCTTGTTTGCTGACCAACAATTGAGGTCTTGGCCGGTTGGCCCCAAAAGGCACGTGTCGTTGGCCAAGCCTGTGCGATTGACGAGTCGTGTGTGGGCCATCTGGTTGATCCTGGCAGTAGGCATATGCTTGTCTCTAAGTTTAAGCCATACATGTGCAAATATGAACAAATTCAGAATATGAAACTGCGAATGATTCATTAAATCGGTTATAGTTATATGATCCATGGCTTGCTTGTTAGACACAGACAAACACATTCAAACTCACACGCCTTCTCCATCTCTCTCTCTCTCTCACACACACACACACACATTCCTTGCATTATTGTCATTATTATTCAATATCATCCTTTGCAGTGCAGTTAACAATTTACCAATGGGATACCCCGTTCTACAACCACCTCCAATGCCTACTACAGGTCAGCCTCATATGGATTCCATGGGTATGTCGAGCTGCCATGTGGTCAATGGAGTGCCTGCTCATAGTAACTTCCATCCGATGCGGATGAACTCTGGAAATGAGTGAGTTTCAGTTAAAATAATTAAATTTCATGTTCCCTCTAATTCATTGTTGAAAGTCAAACATAGAAAACCTCCAAAATTACAAAGAAACAGATATTTCTTTCCCAATTTCAATTTTTTTAATATTTTGAATATACATTTTGAAGCATCTTCCCTACTATGCTATATTTCTTTTCTTGGTATCATTTGCATTTCTATAACTTGCATAATTTCATAAATTGCATATAAAGATTCCCCCCATTCCTCGGGTGCATAAGGGTGGGCCACCTCTTGCAGACATATTATGGCGAGATTCTTAGGATCTTATGAAATTTATTTATTCTCTGAAGCAATTTAGATATACGTCCACCTTTGAGGTTTTTGTTTATCTTTTTCCATTTTTTTCGTACTTAATTTCCCTGATTTCTACTGATAAGGGTCCAAGTAGATCATCTAGTTGGTTCCACCCTATAGATTTCTATTCATAAATCAGAATGCTTCATTCTGAAATCATTTAATGAAAAATATAATTTCCCCTCAACTCCAGAAAAAAGGAAAGTAAGAGAAAGCATTTAATCCTCATGAGCTCTTGATGAAACATAAAGTAGACTGTGTTATCACAACTTCCATTACTTATGTCACTGCTAATATCAATCGTGTATAGTACTTCTATAACAACCCATCCCACATAGATAGGAAAGTAGATGTGTGAGCTCCTTATAAGCTCAAAGTTGCCGGCTACCAATAACTTCCATCATGGTTTTAAGTTGGATAAGAAGGTATTGGGACAGCCTGTTTCTTTGGGCGTTTAAAATGGTATAAGAGCCGATCCTTGTACCATTGGGATGGTGGGGAAAACTTCATCAGGAATGATGATTCCTCAAGGGGGATGTTTGTGACACCTTAGGCGAATCCCACATCACCGATCACAAGGAAGATTTTGGGAAGGCTGACGAGGAGGTCAGGAGTTTAAGTGGGGGAGTTTGTAACAACTCGTCCCACATGGATAGAAAGAATAGATCTGTGAGATCCTAAGCTCAAAGTTGTGGGTTACCCCCTACCAATAATTTCCATCATGGTTTTAAGTTGGATAAGAAATTGGGCCAGTCTATTGCTTCCGGCTTGGGGCATTACAACTTCCTTGGTACCTGTGCTGATGGTTGTTTTTTTCTATATGATTGCAGAAGTATGGTAATGGACAACAGTGCAGCTGGTGTAACTCCTATTCCAACCAATGGGGCCATTTCACCGATGTCAGATATGCCTATGAGTCCTACATCAGTAGCATCTAGTGGTCATTTCCCCTTTACTGCATCTGAACTATCAGGAATGGGAGTAGACACATCAGCACTTGACACAGCATTTACATCTGATGTGGCAAGTTCAGTAGGATTGCATCTACCACCCGATAATGGAAATTCTAGATCTTTTGGTCAAATCCCTTGGAATTTCAGCCTTTCAGATCTAACAGCAGACTTGTCGAACCTGGGAGGTAAACTTTGATTTTGTTTAGCTTGTTTGGTTGGTTTTTCATTAAGTCTTGTATGGATAAAGCTGTCTGTGTTGGATTAATTTGTTTGTGTAGATTGGGAAGGTTTTTGTTTGGGAGGGTTTTTATAGAAGGAGCGTGTTTTTTAATTGGGAGGGGCAGGTTCGGAAAAAACTTGGCTTTCTGCATAAAGCCCCCCCTAAAAGCTTACCGAATAAGTCACTTTCTATATCATTAAGCCACTACCAAACAATCATGTATAGTTGAATTCCCTTAAACTCATTAAGCTGCTAAAAGACAAGTCGTTAGAGTTTGCCCAGGTGATGTTTTTTTTTCATTAATCTTTTCTATCTGGTGTACAAATATCTAAGCCATTCATCTCCCTTGTTATAATTATAATTATTAATGATTCAACTAATATTTGTTCTCCATCATGTTGTTTTCAGATCTAGGAGCTCTTGGAAACTATCCCGGTTCACCTTTTCTGCCTTCTGATTCAGATATATTACTTGATTCTCCTGAGCAAGAAGATATTGGTAAGAACACTGTTTTCTAGTTTTACTTACTCCCTCCGTCCTAAAAAATGCAATGTTTGGACACGTCACTTTTATCAATTGAGGTCATTGACTAATAATCGTGCCCGAAATAAAATAGAGAAAACTTGTGAACCAATATCAAGATTGTCAAAGTCTTGTGATGATGGCTAATGCGAAGGGAGTTACAGACTGTTTGGTTGGTTTTCAATTAAGTCTATGGATAAAGTTGTGTCTATAGATTGGGAAGATTTTTGTTTGGTAGGGTTTTTTTATAAATGGAAGGAATGTGTTTTTTAATTGGAAGGAGCAGGTTGGAAAAAACTATGGCTTTTTGTATAAAGCTTCGCTCTAGAAGTTTACTAAATAAGCCACTACCAAACAATCATTTATAGTTAACCGAATAAGCTGTGAGTCTTATTTAGCTCATTAAGCTGCTAACAAACAGACCCTTGAGGTTGAGGGTGTTTTGGGTAGTTAGAGGGTGAGACTATGACTTTATCAGAGGGTGAGTCTTATTTATAAATGTTTTGGGTAGTTGAGGGTGGGGCATGGGAGGGTTGGGAGCTGAAATGTAGGGTAGCGTATACATGGGCAAAAGGACCAGACCTGTCTCGGACCAGACCATGACATTATCAGGCCAGACCAGACTATGACTTTATCAGGCCGGACCAGACCAGTATGCCGGTCCTTAATCCAATTTTTTTAGACGGACCGGTCTTTTCTAGGACTGGATAATGCCTGGACCAGTCGGACTTTACCCTACTGGACTCGGACCGGTCCATGTTCTTTTTGGACTGGCGAGAGTGAGACAAGCGGATGAAAGAATTGTACAAGATTTTAGGGTTTTAATTTAACATGTGTATTTTAGTAATTTATCAATGTTGTCTCATGTCGAATCTCGGTTCTAATGTGGTACCAAACTTGGGATAACAAGTTTTTATATTGTCAATGCACCGTTCTGTCCCACTTACGAAACATACCCTTATAGTAGATCTCTTAAGGACTTGACCGACCAACATGTGATCCGACCTCGTAAATTCCGACACTATTCGAGTTCGTTTGGACTTCCTTGGCATTAACAATGTCGTGATTTTATTTTCAGTGGACGAGTTCTTTGTTGATTCTGTTCCTGGACCACCGTGCTCTCAATCGGACGAAGATAAGTCCTAGTTTAACGTTGAAATGTTTCTACTATTTAGGAGAAAGGGTAACATAAGTATCGGGTTATTATTTAATTTAGATCGTTGGGTGTGCAAAATATTATGTCGGGTTTCATTTATTGTAACGTTAACATATACCACGGATTCTGAACCTTGGTAATTTGTGAATCTCGATAACATCATGGTCAAATCTCGGTTTTAATTTGACATGTGTCGTTCATTTGTTCTGTTTTCCTAATTTTTGTTTGATAACTAAAGAAATGCATTTTTCCCCACTCAGTCTTGTCATAACAGGTTTTTATTCAGTCATGTTTGGTATAATTATAAGGTGATTCTATATCAACCTTCTACATTCAATTTGAATCCCAATTAATTACTTGCCACACACATCAACATCAATTTTTTTAACATTCTCAATGGTGTGAATTGACCTAAATAACGAGAGTAGGGACCACTGTTATTCGAGCGTACGTATGCTTACGATTCCTTTCTTTGATGTGTTTATGATGGGTCGAGAGTAAAAAGGGTAGACACCACCATCCGTGGCGCCCTACTGCACTGGTCCCATAATCATAGCGGAGTAGGTAAATCAATGCGTACATTCCGTTGATAGAGAAGCAGTGTCTTTGCTCGAATCTGAGACCTCATTCATATGTGACGGATATTGTACAAGATAACAATGTGGTATGTATGATCAAATCTCTTTTGGTAGATAAAAAAGCTTAGGGATTGTTTGTTTACCTCTTAATAGTTTTATTAAGAGGCAACATCTGAATCATTAATAGGTGATAAATTAAATGTAAACTTTTTAAGGGGCTGTTTGGCGATTTCTGAATGGTTTGGTGCAAAATGATTAAGTAGTCAGAATGATTAAGAGGCTTTTATGATATAGTGCAAAATGAAATATAATTGTTTGGTAATTGTATACAATGGAATTAGAGCTCTTAATGGTTAAGGGAGATCCATGATACAAAATTCTTCAGAGCGTTTTAGAACTATCAAAAATCATTCTAATATCTATCAACCAAACATATTTTCAAGTCTGATAATATTTTCCATTCCAATTTCTAATTTTCTTGACATATTTTATTCCATGCAAAAACATTTTTTGTTGTTGTAATTAATAAGGATTGAAAATTTAACGGTAAGTGGGCTATTTGACACTTGGATTAAACTTCAAGGGTTGTTTGTGAATATTCCTACAAAATAAAGAGCTTAAACGAAAATACAGGTCAGTCGTCAAGAGAATTTATCGTTAAAACAAAAAACAGGGAAGTTTGTGAACATTCCATATAAATGAGGGGCTTAAACGAAAATACAGGTCAGTTGTCAAAATAAATATATTTAAAACCAAAATTTAAAATGCGGTGAACGTGGATCGAACACGTGACCTTCAGATCTTCAGTCTGACGCTCTCCCAACTGAGCTATCCCCGCTTTTGTTTATTTAATCCTAATTTATATTATTAATATAATCATAATATGAACAATTATAGTTTTAAATTTGAGACAAAATTTAATGAAAATATTCAAATATTTATATTTTTAATATAAAAATAAGATAGTATAATATAACCTTGTGAATGAAAAAAATTGTAAGCCAAGAGGGTGATGTCTGATTAGTTTGAGTTTGGACTCAAAAGGTTAAAAGTGTCTGAAAATCTCAGGTTCAAATCCAAGAAGAAATAAACATCTTATTATGGCCAGGAATGTTCAAATACGGTGCGACTCCGGGCTACCGCAATGCAGATATTCACCCTGAGACTAGTCGGCTCACATGTCGGGTTGAATATCCAAGTTAACAAAAAAAATGTAACATTATAATTTGTAAATAAGTTTAAACTTTTTTTATTTGAAATTTTTTGACCTATGTCGGGTATACACAGAAAAAAAAAAAGCCAACTAACAGATGGAAAAACGAAAGGAATCCAATATATTCCATCTAAAAGTAGAGTTTTCGGGACTAAGATGTATGTAGACATGTCATCTACTTTAAATGGTAGAATGAGTTGTTTCCGTAAAGATCTCAGTTTGTACAAAAGTAAGCAGTAAAAAAGGAAAAAAGCAAATAGAGACATCTAAGAGATGGTTCAATCCACTAAGTAAGGAGTCGTTCACCAAACTTTTACCACTTACCTGATAAGGGTTTGGTAAACGACTCCTAAGATGGATTATTTTACGACTTTTATATTGGTTGTAAATTGCAAGTTTTTTAAGACATCTTTTCAAAACAGAAAAAAGGTATGCAAGTTTCAAATAAAAAACTAAATGGTTGGTTACTTGATGTTAGATTGTCTCTTACTGAGTAAGGATTGTTTGTCAGTTGTTGAATGGTTTGGTGGAGAATGATTAACAAGCTCTCATGATATAGTACAAAATGAAATACAATTGTTCGGTAATTGTTTACAATGGAATTATGATGATGAATGGTTAAGGGAGACCCATGATACAAAATCATTCAGAGGGTTTTAAAAATCATTGAGAGGCAGACTTTTTTTGCCAAGCAAGATTCATCTCTTAACGATTCAGAGGCTACCTCTTAACGAAACTATTAAGAGGTAAACAAACAACCCTTAAGAGTCACTTATCCAATAAGAGTCACGTACTCGGAAAAGATGATGTTGTTTACCTACACTTTTGACTGATGGTGATTCTGATGGAGTCAACCACCAATGGGTCACTGACTGAGTCAGACAATGTTTACCCAAATTGTTTTTTATCGGTAAAAAGTTGGGAAACGATCATTTTTTTTATTAACCTGGATATCCAACCCGCTATGCGAGCCGACTAATCCTAGGACGACCACCTGCAGGTACCCCGGAGTCACAGCATTTGAACCTCCGTGTCCACAAGGGAATTTTTGTTCCTCCTTGGATTTGAACATGAAACCTCCTGGCACTTTTGACATTTGGAGCCAAGCTCAAACCAATCAGACACCACCCTTGTGGTTGGAAACGATCATTTTCAATCAACGATTACCGCTTTCTCGGTTAACACTTATCCGATTTGTGTCGGTGAACGACTCCTTAACTTACGAACCACATTCCCAATCCTTCACACTCTATAAATCAAGAAAATCACAGGTACATTGCTAGAAAAAAAATTGTTGGAAAACAGTACAGGCATGCAACATTGCCATGAATTACGACAACAATCGATAACGAAAAATAGAAATTATTGATCTATCCTACCCGCCCTTTATCGAAGGGGATGGACAATATATCACGCGTTCTTGATTTTACAACTATCGATGAAATCTACCGTCAATTAGAAATCAAAAACTGATAACAAGATCCCATTTTTAAACTGCCCTTCTTGATATGTGTATAGTGTAGTGTATATGATCTTATCAAGAAATCCTCAGATCGAATCGCCTTAAAGATGCCGATGTTGTATGCTAACGAGGGATATTTACGAAAATCAGTCCACTTCAAACCGAAGCGTCTTCCTCCTAAAGTTGCGTTACCGTATGCAAAACATGAAAACTTCTATGCAGCGATTTCTGTAAAGAATGAGCGACAAAAAAAGTTAATACCAAATCATACAAATTTACAGTATGTGGAACCCCATCAGGTTACTCTCCAAAAGAGCTGAGGAGTTTCTTTTATATCGAGGAGAAGTGTTCCAAGTAGCTGATGTGGGACTTCGACAAAAATATCCAATATTCTTCACAAAAAAACAAGCGAAATCGAATTGACCTGATATATCTCATACAAGAGGAAGGTCGAGGTGCGATGCACACAAATCTTACCTCTACCCCAAAGAGTAGAGTGAGTGTTTCCATGAAGATCCCCGGAGAGTGTGAACAAAATGGTAAAAGAAACAAAGACTAGCACATAGTAAGCACACAATGAGAAAATGAAATATATATATATATATATATATATATATATATATATAGAGGAGTGATCATATGATCATATATATATAGGGTTGGGTTCACGTGAGACCAAGGGTTTTTCGCGAGAACCGTATGACCAATTTATGTTCATTGATCAACTTTATAAGCTAATGATCTAATGGTCTAAAGTGGCAATTTTGTGATTATTGAGAAGTCTCATGGCAATTTTGTGATTATGAATGTTCAGATTGTAGATCTAATCCAAGGGTTGAGAATTGGTCTTCCGGGTCTCAGTAAAAACCCTTGGTCTCACATGATCCCAAGTCTATATATATATATTTTTGTGTGTGTGTGTGTGTGTATATATATATATATATATACATAGGGAGACCTTCTTTTGAGAACTCATTAAATTGTGATAACCGCATCATGTGCTATTTCATATGATTTTTTTCCATCTATGACTAGGATTTGGAATATCGATTAACATATATTTGTTTCACAATGTGTTTGTTTCATATGCATTTGTTTTAAAATGTGAACCTTTTTAGTATGTTTGTGAAACAAAATTTACAAATAAAAACGTTTCACATTGTGAACCACATACATGCGAAGCAAACACGTTGTGGAACAAATATATGTTCTTCAATACGTCAAATTTTAGCCTTACATGAGAAAAAAATCATGTAAAACAATACCTTTGTATAAAAGCTCTCACGGTTATCACAATATATATGGAGTTCTCAAATGATTAAGCCACTATATGTATATATAGGATCAGGTTCATATGAGAACCACAAAAAATTTGTGAAATCGAAGAACCTATATATTCATTGATGCATATATACTATCAAAATATGTATTCCGTTCAATGAATATATTCATCAATACATATATACTATGTATGCAAGTATATATATGCATTGAGGCATATACTCACTAAAATTCATTAGTGTATATGCATCAATGAATGTAGAGGTTATTTGGTTCTCGCATGAACCGTCCCGTATATATGTACACACACGTTAACTTAAACTCATACACATTGTTCACCTTTGGTGAGACTTGAACCCCTGACCTCCGAGAAGGTGGGGTTACTGAGTACCACTAGCCAAGAGAATATTAAAGTTTGCAAGAATAAAAACTTCTTCTAGACTAAATATGGACATACAAGAAGAACCATCGTACTCGACATATATCGTCCAAAATTGCTATCTCATGCCCTTGTAATTCAGGTTTTAATCCACTTTTTATGAATATAATACAACTTTAGCATTAGGGTCCAAAAATAACCAAATTGTTCCTATATCCCACTCAAAAGTAGGGTCTGGGGGTGGAATGTACACAAACCTGTCCTCTACCACTAAAGCAGTTGTTTCAGAAAGGACCCTCGACTTGTGAAGGTTAGGGTCCAAAAGTGATACCAAGAAGAAAAAAAACACAAAGAATTGATGATAACATCTTGGATAAGTTTCGCTACATTTGATCAAATCTGGTTTAAAAAAGGTCAATCACATATGAATGATAACTAATAATCCAATATCATACTAGCAATCACATATGAATGACACTTTATCTGAATTAACAAGCAGAATCCATTTTATGATTCAAGGCATTGGTTTTTCATTGCATTCAAACCATCGTTTCTGTAAAACTGCAAAAACGAGCACTATATCTTTTTCATGAATGAGTGATTTTGAACAAAAAATGGTTCTTTTTGCACTTACATTTCTACAATGACATCTTGTCCACATTGACTCATTCTTGAAAACTATTAGAGTTTTCTTCTTTTGGCACTTGCAGAATAACTATCGTTCATTTGAAATAGAAAACTAAACACCATTTTTTCTACGACAATCAGCTAAGAATCAAAATGAATTTTAGAAATAAGGGCAGGTTCAACTGAGAACCGTCAATATTTTGGGAACCAGGAACCAACTATTTATTAATCATTTATGACACGTGACCCTAAAATAGTCATGAATATCATTCATCATGGATATTATTCATCATGAATATCATGCATCTCATTATTCATTATTCATCATGAATATCATGCATTTTCATTATTCATGACTAATAGCTTCAAATATTCATTATGACTAGTTGGTTCCCAGGTTCTCAGAAAAAAATATGGTTCTCATTTGAACCTGCACATGTAGAAATATAACACAAAAGCTAATGGAAGGATATGATAGACTAACCTCTATTCACTTGTCTATTTGCAATACTATAGCTCCCAACATAACCTTCAGAACTTCTAGCCATGGCATCTTCTGCATTACCAACCCCATAGCCAAATGAACCCGAAACAGAACCATCGAGCTCACTAGATGACGACTGCCAAGTTGCATCGCCATAAATTGAACCCCCACGATATAAATTACCATAAATACCCTGATGACCACCATTTGGTCCATTAAATGATGATGGTGCAGCCACCGCGGCTCCATTGTTTCTTCTAAGTGCACCACCTACTAGCCCATCAATATAGCCAGAAGGGTTCACTCCACCTTGAGAAACTAACGGGTTAGAACCCCAACCGGCTGCATTGTTCCCAAATACTCCAAATCCACCATTTCCTGAACCCAAATACGAACCAGAACCAGGGCCAACCGGGCTGGTGAGTCCACCATTTCCCAACATATTTCTAGCCGATGAACCTATAGGTGGCTCACTTCTGCCACTAGCTTGATTGAATCCAATAGGAGTACTATATCTATTTGGATTTCCACCATAATATGGGCTCATAACTCTTCCATAGCCAATATTGGAAGACCCTCCAAATGGGCTTAAAGATGGCTCCACATTCATGCCCATATTATAACCATTTGAACCAAATGGAGGGAACCCGGTTCGACCACCAACAGTTGGACTGAACCGACTGTCCATTCTGACTCCATAACTTCCAATTGAGCTCATATTGTAGCCTTGTGGGTAGCTAGTTGTAAGAAATGAGTTGGGTCTACCCAAGCCATAGTTATATCCAACCAATGGACTATGGTTTGGCCCTGGAGACAACTCTTTAGGGACTGCCCGTTTGACCTCAACCATTTTACCGTTGAGTTCGTGGAACGTCTTGTGTAATACCCTATCCACCGACTCTTCAGAATCATATGTAATGAAACCAAAACCTCTTGGCCTTTGGGTGTTGTGGTCATACATGACCACCACATCTATGATGGTACCAAATTGATCAAAGTATTTCTTGAAATCGGTTTCGGTGACGGTTGATGCCAACCCACCTACGAATATCTTCTTCGTACGCCCCATTGGGCCTGGCGATCCTTGAATGTTGCTAATGTTTCTATTTAGTCCATGGTGGTCTTCCCTTGGAACAGCCTTCTTTGCTTCAACCTGAAAATTTGGGACCCCAATTATCATCTAACTGAAAGCATGAAAGAGAGAATGTGAACTTCATTATTATTTCATTTGGCATGCACACAAAATCGGCTTTATAGGACGTCAAATATGTTTAAATGTCCTAATAGACTGCTTTATAAGAGTTATGGTTATAGGCTTAAACAATTGTGTGTTCTATGTAAAGGCACAATAAGTTGATAGGATGCTTTTGGGCATCCTAAATAGTTTATAAGGGAACTTTTTGTAATATCTCATGCCAACCTTATCAGATATTTTCTGCTTTGTCCACACTTGGACTCACAATTTTAAAACGCGTCTGTGAGGAGGTATCCAGTCCCTTATAAGGCAACCTTAGTTCCCCTCCGCAACCGATGTGGGATCTTACAACCCACCCCCCTTAGGAGCCCAACGTCCTTTTTTTTGTAAGGGTGTCCCAGACTATGCCCAGACTAATCCACAACAATTGTTGTGGACGCCTGGAATTAAACCCATGGCAGATGGGATATTGCATCACATCCGCCACAACCCTTGTGGTTTGAGCCCAACATCCTTGCTGGCACGCTAGTCCGGTTCCTGGCTCTGATACCTTCTGTGACATCCTAGGCTAACCCTACTAGATATTGTTCGTTTTGTCCACACCTGGACTCACGGTCTAAAACACATCTGATAGAGGAGGTATCTAGTCCCTTATAAGGCAACCTTAGTTCCCTCCCCAACCGATGTGGGATCTTACAATTATGAAATAAAGCGTCATATTCATCTTTTTATATGACATTATTCGAAAAAGTGTATTATAAAAACAAGTGTCTAGTAAAAAGAGTATTTGGCGTCCTATAAGCCGATTTTGTTTCTGAAATGAAGTGTCCTATTCGTCTTTTTTATATGACATTATTCGAAAAAGTGTCTTAAAGAAACAAGTGTCCTATAAAAAGGGTATTTGGTGTCCTATAATCCGATTTTGTTGTAGTGTCTTATCGATCTATAAAAACTTCTCACAATCACATTTCAATATTCGAAACAACTTGTGACCGATTGCATTGTGTAGCATAGGTGTCGGGACATCAGAAACTTACAGTTCGACCATCAATCATATGCTTCTCCATTACAACTCTCTCAGCAACAGCAGGATCAACAAACACTACGAAACCAAATCCTCTTGCACGACCAGTCAAACGATCTCTCATGATAACGGCTTCCACCACCTCCCCATAACTACTAAAATACTCTTTCAATCGATCCTCATCGGTATCCCAAGAAATCCCACCAATAAACAGCTTACCATTATCTGGTTCCATCTTCTCCACAATCCCATGTTGAATTGCCATAAGTTTTCAGTATTCTTAACCCTCAAAATTAGCAAACAACTCACTAACTTGAATGCTGTTTCTACCTTAAAATCCAACTACAATTCAAAAAAAAAAAAAAAAGGTAATGTAAATTTGTAATTCCGATCACAAAATCATAAAATTGATCAATTGTAGATAGGTAAAACAATGATTAAGCAATCCATTACTGAAAAATTTCATACTTCCAACACAATTGCAATCGTAAATCAGAAACATTAACACAATTCATCGTAAGCCCTATTCAACAGATCTAAATGTGGATACAAAAGGATCTAGAAAACTGAAAATTTACCTTATCTTGATGAAATTAGACAGAATCCAGTAGATACAGTGATAGGATTACTAACATTTAGTCTTCACGAACTAGAACAGAGGCATCGGATCCTTCAAACATCGATTTCAAGTTCAATTCAGATTCCTAAAAACTCAGAATTATGATAGATCGCAGACAATCAGATTGGTTTATGATGAGATAAACGAGTAATGATTCAAGAAAATTGGGGAAATAAAACAAGAAAAATGAAAGCTTTGGGCTCACCATTAATGGAACCTGGATTCGAGAAACGATGAAGACTAAGATCTAGAAATGAGTATATGCATAAAAAAATGAAAACAGAGGATGTGGGTCGTCCACTCTCTCTTTCTTCCCCAAAGCTAAAGGGCATATTGCAAGTTTTTTTTAATCCCAAGAGGATACTTTAGTTGGCTACAGTAAGTTGAGGGGTATGATTTTAATTACTATCAATAGTTGAGGGGTTTTTTTGTAATTTATGGTTAGTTGAGGGACGTAATGTAATTTATTACCAAAGATTGAGGGGTGTAATAAGTGAAATAGAAAAGTGGCGTTGTTGACGGTTGAGCAAAACAAGAATCGAGAATCTTATATTTAAGAGGCATAATAAGGAGCAATAATTTTACCTAATAAATGAGGGTCTTCTAGAAGGTCAAGGGTTCAAACATCAGCAAATGTGATAAGTGTATAAGCTTACTCTTACACAGTAAGCTTTACTGGGTAAAAATGCTTACCAACAGTTTATTTTGGCCAAAAGGGCCTTTGGCCTAGAGGTATCGTAACTTTTGGCCTCCTAGAAGGTTAGGGGTTCAAACCTTAGCAAATGCGAGAAGTGTGTGGGTAAGTTTATTTGTTGCATTTGCCTATATAAATATTATATACTTAAAAAACAGTTCATTTTGATGACCCCAAAATGTTACCCGTAAAGGTGGTGACTTTTGTTGATTAATATTTACCAGATCATTTTATTGAAATTTTGAAACCCACATCTGATTTAATCAAATGTGGGTGTTGTTCAATAAGGAAAAAAAGAGTACATTTAAATCGTTCGAGCATTTTATTCAGCTTGGATGACAGGCGAAGGTGTTTCGTACATTTTCTCTGATTGGAGTAAAGATGGTTACCTATTCTTCTTGATTAAAAGGGAAACTTCTATATATTCATCTCTAACATATGTCAAAGAAAAGCTATATCATCTCATTTCGTAAAGCAAAACAACCAAATATAGATAAAAGGCGAGAGAAATTTGTGTCCACTATAAGCCATCAGTGTAGAGTTAATGCAGCTTTTTATTAAAAAACTGAAACTAGGATTTTCACTCGTTTAATATATAAATTACAAACATTCATAATTACACACACACACATATATATACACACATAGACGAAGAATTGTGTGAGAATAAGAGTTAAGATGAAAAAGTGTAGAAAGGGATTTGGGTCATTGTGTAACATCTAATTTCTAATATACCCAAATTATTTGCTAAATATATTTAACTACTGGGTTAAAGAGAATCTATGATTTAGTGGGGGTTTGAGTTTGAAATTTTAGAATTATACTTCTTAGGAGTATATTAGAGGATTTGGGATTTACGTCAAATAGTTACGTAAAAAATGATTTTCTTGAGAGATCTTTTCTGGAATATTGTTGTTGGATGTTATAGATTATTTCTTTATGAACGTGTATGCGAAAACCTCATAGAAAACGGAGGTCCGAGCGAAAAGTTATGAATAATTTAAGTGTTGATGGTCAAAATGGGTACCTAGCCGGGTCAACCCGGCCCAACTCGAGGTTTAGCATTATAAATTGGATTTTTAACCCATTTTTCTTGTCATTTGAGTCCAGAACTCACACACACATTAGAGGTGCGATTTTCACACACATAAGCTCGATTCAACTCAAATCAAAGAGGAACTACAAGATCTTTGAAGGATTTGATCATCAAGTAAAGGGGTAATTAAGATATATTTTGATACTTTGGAAGCAATCTAAGTGTGGTAGATTGGACTTGCTTTGTGAGTTCATTTTGGAGCTTTTCGGTATAATATGGTTGCCCGATGAGTTATATAGTTAATTGTTACATATTGATTTGAACATGTATATATATATATATATATATTTTCATATGAATGTTTTTGGTCTTGAATTGAGTCACACGATCTTGACTTTCCTTTGATTCCGTCTCTTGAGTCTATTCCATATTACTATCTCGGTACATCGGTTTGCTTTTCGGATCCATACTAGTTGTTTTTGTTCCTTGAATTGTATACCATAGTACGGGTACTACTTCGTGTGACACGCCGAAAGTTTATGGCGAAGTCAAGATCCCGGGTTGGACGGGTGAGACTTTCTGCGGTTGTGAGTACTCACTGCTCAAAGAGGAGGAAGAGCAATGAGTAGGAAAACTTGGCACATACCTGGTAGAGGAAAGCGGGCAGTGCGAGGTTTCCTGTAATGAACGATTCTGACTCGGACTTTGGCATGAGCCCGGGAGGTGAAGGACGGGATGATGCACTGTCTTCGTTATGTTTACCGATTCGATCTCTTGGTTTTTGATATTTATTGGTATTCTAACGTTGCTGAATATATTTGGTTGTTGATTCTGTCTCCTTGTTGTTTTGAGCATCAATGGTATGGTATATTATGGTGATTTGAATATGGAATCCTATGATCTTAGCATCCGGTACGTAATTGTTCACTCGGTTTCTTTTAAGTCTCGGTTTGCATTAGGATGATGCTTTGAACTCTTTTATTGATAAGAGTTTATTATGTATGTTTATATACATATGCGATATTGATATGTAATACTTAACTATTTAACTCACTAAGCGTTGACTTACTATTTAAGTGGCAACCTCTCTCAGGAAATAAGTCGGATAAGAAGAAAGAACCCGTTGTTTGACTTGAAGATTTATCGGGGAACTTGAAGATTGCGATATTGCTTTTGGTAAATAGTAGCTTAATACCGTATTTCATAGATGTAGTAAGTAAAGCTTGATTATAGTCTTGTTCTGGTTATAAGTATGTCCCGTATTATTTTGCTGCTAAAATTCGGGTTGTAGGTAAAAACTCCGTTATATCCGGTTTGGAATTGTGTTTTGGGTGGTTTTATCACTAAAATATAACGGATATTTCGAAGTTTTTCTAGAAAATTAATATCCCATATTTTGAGGTTAATCAACGTTATGCCCAGATCTGTGAGTTTCAAAGGGTTGGCCATTTTCATCGTCTCTGGACCATTTCATCGCCACTGGTCCATTTTCATCGCCTCTGGTCCATTTTCATTGCCTCTGGTCCATCCATCGCCTCTGGACCATCCATCGCCTCTGGTCCATCCATCGCCTCTGGACCATCCATCGCCTCTCGACCATCCATCGCCTCTGGTCCTTTCATAGGCTCTGGTCCGTCCATAGGGGCTCTGGTCTTCCTCCAGACTTAGTCGTTTCAGCAACATCATCAGATTTTTCATCCTTGACCCCGATTATTTTGATAAAACTTTTAGAATAATTAGGATCAAATTTTTTTGGGTCCTAACAATCAATAAATTATATTTTATTGGAAATTTTTATAAAATTGGTAATTTGAGGATTTCTCGAGCGAGATGTTACACATTGATCACTTTTAATCCCAAAGCAACCCATGAATTGTGTTTTATAACAGGGAATTGAGCTGGTATATCTCATTGGTGTTGATTTAGTGGTTCTCTTCAATCAAGATTGATTAAACGATGAATATCTCTTTTTACCATTCTCACAATATCTTTCATTCTCATCAGAACGTATATATATATATATATATATATATGTGTGTGTGTGTGTGTGTATGAGGTTATAACTTGTTATGTATTAATGATTTATCCTTAATATTTATTATAATCTAATATTAAAATTTAAGAGTTTAAGAAATAATATGAATACAAGAAGCCTTTCATTGATCACAACATACAATAATGTGCTAGAAACACTTGTCCACCTATTGAAAGTGTTGAAGTATGCAAATGCCACTCTTCTTGATCAACTCCAAATTATTGTTGATTTTGGGCCAAAGTATTGGATGATGTTTTTGACAATTACTATCTACCACCCATGGGCTAGATTGCCCAAAATGAGACTAGACCCATACTACATATTAAGATTCGAGTTTGGTATGCAGATGAGATCAAATGGAATTGAACGGGCAGGAGCCAGGGAGGAAATCGAAAGAACTGTGAAAAGTTTTAAGGTTTTTATCTGATATTTAAAGTCTCACCTATTTTGATGGGTATTAGTCCCGTTATATCTCGGTTTAATGTCGTGTCAAATATGGAACAAAAAAGCTTTTGTCATGTCAAACAGACGCTACAGTCTTTTACACAGTGTTCTCAAAGCCTTTTGTATGAATGAAATGAAAGAGAATAATAGGAAAGGGGTGGGAAAAGTTGCGTTCTTGAAACTTTTTAGAAAGCAAATGAAATAATTATGATGGAAACGAACGATATGATTCCTTCGTGATTTATTCCTGATTTAATAAATGGTAATTTACATATTATTTTTCACATTAATTGTATTATTATTTAAACTTTAACAAATAACAAATGTGAAGAAAGGGTATATTGGTCATTTTTCATTGCTTCTTGTCATTTAATGCTTAAACACCAAGGGTGGATTTAATACGGTACCAAATTTTTTCTTTTAACATCATAAGAAGGTATCTTCACCCTTGATCGTATGAGAAAAAAAAAAGTTAAGGTAAGAAGCATAAGAAGAGATCTCCATCATTGATTATTTTCAATTTCATGCTCACCTATAAATTGTGTTTTAGAAGATAATTGATCCGATGTATCTTATTAATGTTGATCTTTAATTAGAATTGATTCAACGGTGTAAATCACTTCTTACCCTTCTTATCATAACTTCATTTCTCATCAGAACCCAACCCTCAAGCAAAATAAATAAAATTACAATGTTTAATATTCGATACATAAAAACACAAAAAAACTAATAAATAATTAAATAAGAGGTACTACAGTACTACTGTGGTACACAACTTTCAATATTGTGCACCGACAAATTTTACATACCTGGTATGGTATTATCAGCCAACTGTAACTGATACAAACTAAATTGATACCAATTTAATTAATAAAATTGGTATATATATTATAAGGGTTAGACCCATATTTTTTTTTGAAGCAGTTACACTATTTTATTATAAGAAACAAATACAAGTATATATATATATATATATATATATATATATATATA